GGGGGTTGGAAGGGGGGGGGGGGTATTCATACCGGTCATTCAAGCGATCTTGATGTATTCGTATGCGAACTAGTAATTCGAGATTTTTTTCTTATATTTGCGAGTGTATTTCAGAATGTATTCGTCGATCATCCAGGACGACGAACGACATTTTTCGATCCACGCTTGCCGATGCCCGTCAAACGACGCACACGAAGTGCACCTCCAAATCAGCACAGTGTTGGTACTCATGATCCATTCATATACTAGAATGCCCTGTAACGAAGCTTCCTTTTGTATGGATACATCGGACTTTATGGAAGGAGAGGAGGGTATCCCAGAAACATCACGAATGTGGGGTTTCCAAGAATCAGTTGTCAGGATGCTGCTCTGGGGACGCTGGATTTGCTATAATAATCAACAGTAGTAAAATTATTATGAATGAATGAAAGAACTAGTTAATAGTGATAACAGTAATAACAATAATAATAACAGCAATAATAATAACAAAAATTTATATCTTATGTGTACGAAGTCAACATAACTTGCAAATTAATAATTTTAAGTGCGCTTTTTCGGAAATGACTGGAAGATGTGCTGCCTGGGTCGCTGAAGATAGACACGGGAGAAAAGAATTAAATTAGATTGGGGTGTTTAAGTGCAGAGCAGAGTGTTGATTTTGTTGAAAGGAGGAATGAAGCCAAAAATGACGTGAAATCTAGGTGCCACACGCAAAAAACTGGTTTGTAGAACGCTGGGTAGCCGCTGAGATTGACGTTATTTTCAGAAGAGGGGGCGTTAGCATGTCGTTCACTTTTTTGCTGAATGTTAAATTTTATTCAAATAATATTCTTTCTATCGATTCATCATTTTTCAGTGTGATCTGAACGGTAACGAACTCATGGATATTCTGCAGGATGCTGTAAATATGCATGATCTCGTCCGACTGCCTAAGCCTGAGGTAGCATTACAAATATGGCAGAAACTGCAAAATCTTCATCGGACAAATACCTCCCATCGAGCACTGACTGATGATCCTGAATTCGTCTCCGCAGTACGGTATGATTTTTTCATGGTTGCGATTTATCAGGGTTGTTACCCAAGCCACTCAGACAATCGGTATGGGGATCCGTGATGATACTGGGATACTTCTACATGTTAGAATTGCAAAGTGCACATGGGGAAATTTTGACTCTGAATTTTGATATTTTCGCTAAAATTTCTCTATTCATATTCGCCTTTCTGACACACATAGTTCTACGCAAAATTAGGCTACTTCAGTCCCTTCAGTGTTAAACTGCATATTTATTTGGTGGATGCCTTAATCTCTTCAGCGCCTATCGAATGGTCGTTTACTTTTTCACGGGCACCTCTCATTGATGAGCAACGTCTACTGGTTGTCATTAAGGCGAGCAATATGTCCTGCCTGTTGGATTTAACTTTCTCGAAAGGTTACATTGGCATTCTGCGCGATATGAATTAGTTCATTCAAATACCACTAAAACAGTTAATCAGTAATAAGCCGTTAATGTCAGTAACAATCACAAACACTTATGCAAACATAATACGTAAATTTTTAATTCGTTCAAAAAACTTCCAGATTTTTGGTTTCAAATTCAAATCGGAACGACTTTGATGAACGACTAGACCATTTCTATACATCGCTTGAACGTGGCGGATATGGAAAAGGGCCTGCAAAAAAGAAGTCTATTTTAACTTCAGTACCTCTATTGATTGGGTAGTATATTCAGCCAGCACTTCAATAAACTTTTAGCTTTCATAGATGCAGGATTCCTGGATTTGAAATTCGAAAGTTTTTTTAAAATTTTAAATTCCAACTCAATATTCAGGTTCCTATTACGCCGTTCTCATTTACTAGTTGATGCCTTTGACCAGATACTTTCTGCGGATGCTTCTGAATTACGGAAAAGTCGCCTCTGCGTCAATTTCGATGAGGAAGACGGGTTTGCTTTTGCTTTTTGAAGTGGAAAAATTTTTGAATTGTTTAATGTTCTACGGACTCAATTACAAGAAACATTCGCGTTATCCCTGCACTAAACTACGAAATAAAAAACATTTTCCGACAGAAATTCAGTAAAGCTAACACACAAAGTACTAGGAATACCGGCACCACCCGAACAATCGGTACAGCATGGATCTCAAGTTACTGATTTTACTGTCCTGAATACTGAGGCAGCTATGCCAGGCCCTTAAATTCCGAGCTACTTATCTGCAGTTAGCACCACGTATCTCCAGTTAGTACCATTTACTGCTTGTTCGATGTATGTGCGTAACTTCTTCGTAGGACGACCAAGCAGCCATTTGTGCATAAAAAAAGTCAAAATATTGACTTAAATGCATAGTTAAGATGCGTATGTTTGAAAAGACCGAAACGTTTTACCTCACTCTTCCCTTCTGTTCTCTCTTAATTGCCCTTCATCTCCATCAAGTTTCTACTTTTTAATGCATCCAAGCCTAACTTGGCTGCTACGAACTAATTACTAAGAAATTCACATACAGAGCTACATTTACTACTAAATTCTAGGAATAAAGTCAATTATTAAATAATCAGTAGGTCTCCGCCGAGGAATGAATTTCCACAAGTAATCAGCGGAAGAAAGTCCACTGTGTAATCAGTGTGATGAAGCCTCCTAGGAAATTCGCGGAATAAAGTGAGCTAAATCAGATCCTTAAACGAATTCATGTAATAAAGTTCACTATGTGATAAACAAGTTTAAAATCACCACATAAAATCCATGGAATTTTCGGAATTGCTCAGGAATTGTTTCTTCAGGTTGGATTATGGAGGTCCATCAAGAGAGCTATTCTTCCTACTTTCACGGGAACTTTTTAATCCTTACTATGGCCTGTTTGAGTACTCAGCAAATGATACCTATACTGTTCAGATCAGCCCAATGAGCGCTTTTGTGGATCACTACATCGAATGGTTAGTATCTGTTCAAGAAAAATACTTGCATTCTCATGCAATTTAAACAGCTCAAAACCCCCAAAGAAATCAGGATTCTGAGCGAAGTCCTTTTCAGGATGGAATTATGCGGTAGAGTGCTTGGCCTTGCACTGATACATCGATGCCTTATTGATACATTTTTTACACGCGCCTTCTACAAATCTCTTCTCGGAATGTATGTTTTTTACCCACATACAATCTGTGATCATTTTACCGAATATTTGCTACTTCTAAATTACGATGAGACACCTGAAGCGTTATGTTTTGTTTACGCTGCATAGTTAACCAGATCCAGAAGTCCGCAAAATGGAAGAAGAGACCGAATTAAACCAAAATCCATAATTATTGGCTGGTTACTGGTCTTTGTACCGCATAAGATTATTTACAGGCCTTTTGTAATCGACGACTTGCAATCAATGGATTCGCAGTTTTACAATAGCTTGTTATGGATCAAGGAGAACAAAGTGACCAGTGAGCTTGACCTTACATTCAGCGTAACCGAAGACGTCGGTGGACAAGTACGTATTGAATCTTAAGTAAGCATAAATTAATCTGAGCATCCTCAAATCACTACTGCAAAAACATGTGAACATTTACCCAGGAGAACCGTAATTCGACTCTATTTAGCTGAATTTATATCTCCTCTTTGTCTTACTGCCCTTGGCGATTGGTTATTTTGGTTTAGCTCACTGCTTTCTAGTACCAGTTTGCATCAGTAAGTTGAATTTGTCTATCCCTAGAAATCTAGTTCCGGTCGATCGCAAGAGAGATGATCGAACTTCACATCCTAAAACTTTAGTTAAGGTGCGTTGTTGACCACTTTCAGATTGTTGAAAAAGAACTGTTACCGAAAGGGAAGGATCTTTTGGTTACGGAAAGAAACAAGCATGAGTTCATAGCCATGATGATCAAGTGGAGGATCGAACGAGGAGTCACCGAGCAGAGCAGGGCTCTTCTTCGTGGCCTTTATCAGGTTCAGCCCTATTATGTTCGTAATGGAATTATCTCCAGCATGTTCTGTCAAAGCAATTAATATTTTCTAAAGTACAGCAACGTTTTCTAACCTATTTATCTGTGCGGGAAATCCTTACAGCCGTGTAGTGGCCATACAAAGATTGAACATTCGGAGTTCATCAATTTCATCAATATATATTAGTATTAGAAATTTATGAAGATCTTCCAAACAATCGTATTTGGATCCGCTGTTAAAGATGTTATCCAACCATGGATCAGATGGAGATATGCCAGATCCTAGAGATTTGACTCTGATTTTCTTTAATAGATTATTGATCGAGATTTGCTATGCATTTTCGACAGTAAGCAGTTGGAGTTGGTTTTATCTGGGACAGTGGAGATCGATATTGATGACTGGCGAGAAAATACTGAGTACAAAAATGGCTACTACGCTGAGCATATCTGCATCGTTTGGTTCTGGGATACTGTTTATGCGTTAAATAACGCCGACAGGCTCAAGCTACTGCAGGTGACTCATTTATCATACAAAGTTGATCCTATCTATGCGGTCAGCAATTTTTCCAACTGCTTTGACCAGTGTTGCATTCTCCCCAGTGGTTAGCCTGCTAGCGATCCTAACGTTCATTTCGTCTCTAGAAAAAATTATCAGCTTAATTCCCAAAAGATGCATTTAGCCAGGCTTTCACCACTTCGAGGTGAACTCGATGAGCTGAGCAATGTCCATTCATGCTCCTATGTATATTTTTTGAATCTTAAAATTTTTGTATAGTACGCAAATTTCAGTTTGTAACCGGGACATCAAGTATACCTTACGAAGGTTTTCGAGCACTACGTGGCTCTGACGGACCAAAGAAATTTACCATAGGTATTTTTACGCATTTCTGAAAACGAACTTTTCAGTGATAATCACAAAATTAGGAAAATTAACACTAGGATATATGCTGTGCCGCATGTCTATGTTGATAAGACCCCAGTAACTGTGCTTCACATGCTGAGTTACTTATCACGTGATTTTCCTCGATAATGTGTATGTTTTAGCCAGACTAGTAGTTATTTTTGTTGCGGTATGCACCTTTAGCAACGACTGGCGTCCCATATTTTGATAACGTATATCGCGCTAAACTGTCTTTGTCAGGACGGCCACTAACCCTTTAGGAGATAAAAAGGATTTCAGGAGCACCAAAAAACAGACCATCAAGCATCACAGTACTGACCATATGAGATGAAAATGAAACAAAATGTCTTAATTATCGGCCATACCACTGATGAATTGGTGCTGAACTGATAGTGATTGGAGGTGATGGGTGCCCAAATGCAGCTCTTGAGGCGGGGATTGGGGACAGGATGCAGAAGGGAAAGAGGGGTGCAAGTCAGAAGCTCGAAGCAAGAACTACAGATAGCAG